GTGTTGGCCATCTATCAACTGCTAATCTTTTAGTCATTGTTCATATTTGGTTTAGTGTATTTCTACTGGGCTGTGGCTCACCCTATATGGGAATATCATTTTTTTTCAGGTACAGGTAGCATGCCACCTCCAAGGACATAGCTGGGAGGCTAAAGGCGGGCATACTTTTGTTGCTTAACTTTTGATGTATTACATGTAACTTCAAGCTAAGGGGGCTTAATGTGTAAATGAGTTAGCACTCTTTTGTTGTAACCAAGTGTTAACTTGGAAAGCTGTAAGCCTGTAGGGCATTTGCTTTTGTCGTTAACATGTAATACTTTTTGTAATGGAACTCTGATGAATAGAAAAATGTGGAGTTTTATGTATCAATGCATGTCTATATGGATGGGTTTAATGTTATTATTTTGAGGGCGTTACAACTTGGTATCAGAGCGTACCGGGTTTGAATACTTTGGGTACAGGGGAAGTGATTAGGATCACAATGGGTTTGTCTCGCTTGATAGAGACTTAGATGTAGTGTTATATGTTACATGTTTAATTGATAACATGCTTAGGTGACTATGTGGGTATGAGATTTAGTTTCTAGGATGTTGATTAGATCCTTGGGTTTCTATGAGTCTTGTTGGAAAGGCACTTGATCAATGCTGTTTCTAACCGGAACTCTAGTAACGCCTCGGGACTATCATCATCCGGAGATGAAATTCGTAAGTGCTTATGTGTTTATGTGCTTACGTGGAGTGAATTACAGTTGTCCATGCATTAGGACGTGAGTGTTTAGTTTTGGCACATTTGTGAATGTGCTAACGTTCTGTATTACCTTTATTAGGATGTCAGGGCGAGGAAGAGGTGCTAGGCGTGGTAGGCCTGCGAGGCAGGATGTACCTTTATCGGATGATATTCCGGCAGTGCAGGAGGGTGTTGGCCAGGCCAACGTGGCCGAGCCAGCGGGCCAGTAGGCTATGAGTGCCTTGGCACGAGAGATAGCAGGGGCTTTGGGTTTTCTCAGGGCTGGGAATCAGGCAGCTGAGGCAGGGCCTTCTTTCTTGAAGAGGGAGTTTTTCCGGTCTAACCCGGATGAGTTTGTTGGGGATCCAAAGGAGCCACTGAAGGCTGACGAGTGGTTAGAACAGATGAGTAAGACGTTCGAGATGCTTGGCATCGAGGACGGAGCATTGAAAGTGACCTTGGCATCCTTCCAGCTGAAGGGAGATGTGGGCCAATGGTGGAAGTACGAGAAGGCTCGTGTTGGTGGTACATGGGAGGCGTTTGTAAATGCTTTCCAGGAGAGGTTCTTATCTGCAGTGGCTAGGGAGAAGCTGAGGGATCAGTTTAGCCGGCTTAATCAGCAGGGTATGTCTGTGGCAGAGTTTGAGGCTACATTCACTAGTTTGTCCAAGTTTGCACCTAAGCTGGTGGCGTCCGAAGAACGCCGTTGCTATGAGTTTGAGCGGAAGTTGAGGCGGGGCCTCAAGTTAAGGGTTTGTGGGTCTTACATCCAAGAGTATAGACACTTAGTGGATGCTGCAGCTCATATGGAGCTTATGATGCAGGAGGACGACGAGGAAAAACATAGAGGCTCCAAGCGGGGCCAGGAGGGTCAGGGTGATGGCAGGAGACAGAGGGGTTATAACCCTCAGCTGTCTCAGAGTGGGGTTGTTAGATCGACCTTTCCGGTGCCAAGTGCAGGCTCGGGGAGAGGTAATCAAGGAGGTTTGACTTGCTACACCTGTGGCCAGCTGGGTCACAAGTCTTCGGTTTGCCCGCAGAAGGGCGGAGGTCAAAGAGCTGCTTCTTCTTCAGCT